GCCGAAAGAAGCGCAGAAGAGGGATTTGGGCGATTTCATGCAGCTGGGGCGCTACACCGGCTACCTGTGCCTGCTCTACGAGTGCCTGGTGGTATCGCAAGTGAGCAACCTCATCTACATGGTCTACGGAGGTGAGTCCCGGTCATCACTCAATTTATTGCTGTTTTGACTGATAAACCGTGTTCTTTTCATGTTCCCTGTAAACTTCATGGATTTGCATGTGTCAATGCTATACTGGTGTGGAGTTGCGGCCAAACGTTCTCTACAAATAATTGTACAAATCTAACAGATAATAATACATACTGAAAGATTTTTTTGTGTATGTGCGTGTACTTGTTTGTGTGTATATATGTGCATTTCTATATGTGTGTGTTGGTGAATCCTTTTGTGTGTGTGTGTGTGTGTTTATGTGCGTACGTGTGTGTGTGTGTATGTGTGTATAGTGGTCTGGAACGCCGAATAAGAGAAAATTTTTAAATGCTAACGATGGAAAAAATTTCAAATCTTTTTGGAAATGACTTTATTTAAAATGTCGAAATTTCGTTTTGTAATGGCCAGATTAAGTTATATGCGGATAAGACAGCCCTGGGAACCGAGAGGCCTCAGACGATGTATTACCCAAATATTGAGCAGTTATGGTGTTTCAAATCAGCCTCGCCTTGTTCACCACGCATTACGTGAAATAATACTATCTATTGGTAATCTTATGCTAGCGAAGTGCTCCTCTTAAAATTTTTCGCCTGCCTTGCGTTTTGCATTTCTGTTTGCGTTTGACTTTTTTTTTTTACTTTTCTTTACTAAAATGCATTGCTTAGACATACAACAACTTTAGCAAAAAAGAATATTCTCTTAATTATTCCGTTTTTTTCCTGACTACATTTGACAAATATTTGTGTTTAAAATCATTGAAAACTACAGCTGACGAGGTCCAGTTGTAGTAGTCAACAGGAATGTATACGTCTTCGAGGGCCAAAACATTCCCTTTTAGTTGTTTGATTTTTATTTTCATGCTACATTCTAAAATATTTTACCAAAAAGACACCTTTAAAACATTTACGGTGAGATGCCCGTTTCTGAAGAAGATCGGCTTTTGCACCGTCTTTTATATCTGGCTGAAAAATTCTTGTAAAAAACCAGAAGAGAGAGTTTGAAAGCGGAAATCAAAGAGAGATTGGGTTGCTGGCTGGGCATTGGTCATTCATTCAGCAGTCTGTTGCTTGTTTCAACTCTTTCGGCAATCACTTCCTTTTTTGTGCTCCCAGGCGCAGTATATTTGCTTAGTTCTGCTAGCTTCGACGCTCTCGTTCAATCGTTTTCTCCAAAAAAACGTTCGTTTTTTAAAAGAAAATGAAGTTATGAAGCAAAGAACATTACATCGAACGGGCGACGGTTTTCCAAAGGTTACCTGGTCTCATCGAAGCGGAACAACTGCCTCATCCATCAGCAGCTGCAAAAAATATTTTTTGTCTGTTGATAAGTTCCTTGCTGGGAGGAGCATGAAGGAGAAAGCACTGTTGAAGGAATGTTGTTCGCGCGGATTCCGCCTCCAAAGTGCCACTTTTTCGGGGACAATCATCGTTTTTGTCCCTCATAAGTCACTGCGAGGGATGTCATTTTGCGGGCCCTAATTAATGATTAACGTCGAGTGAGGGATGTGAACAGCGTACAACAATTTGTTTTCCTCCGAATTTTCTCTCACCTCTGAAAAGCCGCGACATCTAATCGCTGATCTTTTTCTGGAGATGGCCTGCGAGCAGGGACGATTTCTTAGGGGAAAAGTCCAGACAGCCCGGATATCTGCACTGTTTTGCTGTCAGTCATAGACAAGATGACACTCCGACAGATAGATTTTGAAGTTGTTTTCGTCTTGGAATCAGTAAAAGAGAGGTCATTGCAAGGGTAACAAGGCAATTAGAACAAATTCCTGTGGGGCCGAATAAGACAACTACAGCTCTCCTTATCCTCCGTTACGTCATCCTTGAGCTTCCGCGAGAATTACTGCTTTAAAGAAAATAAAAGGAAGCAGAAAAATGAAATTGAAAAAGGGCGACGAGGTGAAGAACAGAGACGGAAATGCTAGAAAAATGATTGATGGAAATCGGGTGATGAGTATAGAGGCGAGGATTAAATGCTGAATTCTTAATGAAGAATTTTCGTTAAAAGAAGGATGAAAATTCGATAAAAGCAATAAAATTCAAAACGATGTGTTAAAAAGCACTGAACACGTAATGCTGAAGAATTCCGCAGAGAACAGTAACTTTTGTTAGTCTTTTGCTATGCAAGCGGTGCTACAGTGAGCAAAAACGCATATTGTCGAGAGGTACGCAGTATATGTTGTGTGTGTGCGTGTGAGTTTCGTCACCCATTCCAGCTCATCAACCAGGAAAGCTGGGAGGTTGAAATTTTGCGAACATGTTCCGGTCATCTTACAACCTGAAATCATCGCGCACGTATGTCTGGATCCCATGTTCGGATGCCGAAGAAATATGCGAGTTTTATGGCGGGAAAACGATTTCGCGAATCACACAAGCTAGAAAGCTAAAATTTCACATGATTTTCCCTGTCCATGGGTAGGCTCGAGGTTCAAATTCATCTATCACGCATGTCTACATCATGCGTGCGGTCACGTCAAAGTTTGCAGTTGGCACTCTGCCAACTCAACAACTAGCCAGAAAACAGTAACTGAGAATCCGTCAAAATGTTTATTGTCCATCTGGGAAATCGTATACCTAAAACAAGTTTCGGCTTGCATTTGCGCCACGATTTAGGGCCCTTTAATGATTTTTGTAGCAAACTGGATATTTCGCTTACCGGAAAAGTTGCGGTGTTGTAACTTTGTAAGACTACTCTGTATTCACTGGATCTAAATACAGCTTGGAGGCCAAGTTCTCCGCGCAGGAACATGAAAAATACTCAGTTTTGTCGCAAACCCAAAAGCGAGTGCTTTTTGCAGATTTCGTAGCCCTTTTCTGATATTCTATGCACTGTCAAACTTGCGTGTTCCAGTGAACGACCGGTCTTCATGCAAAATTGATAGTCGTCATGCACGTTGGAGGTTCATGCGATCTCATGATGCAACATCATCATCCTAATCAACGTTTTTTTCCTTTACATGCAGGGAAACGCAAAAAAAAAGCGCAGTCAGCATGTGTCTACGTATTAAACTGCATCGCAGAAACTGTTGATGCTCTTGACCGTCTGATTGCTGCAAGTTTACGCAAAAACGTATGATCGCACCGGCAAGCCTGGTGCGTGACAGCCTGGGATTTTAAAAGAGATAACTGTAAATCTGAGTTACCGATCATTGATATACTGCAGGGGCGGCGGCTCGAGTCGAAGGATGCGACGGTCATTCATTCGCCGGGATGGGCGTCAAGGAGCAGTGTACCGAATACTACAAGTACAAGAACAGTTCGGTGGGATGCGACAATCCAAAACTCTCCGCTGATTTCCAGTCCATCAACTATGAGGTTAGCGCAATGTTTGTTTTCATTCATTTTCCATACTATTTTAGGATTTTAGCAAAAAAAGAGTGAATTTTCGTAACGAAATTTAATCTACCGATTTTTGCTCATGTTTCTGTAAGTAGCAATGAATTCACGTGAAATTGGTAGATGTGAGGGACGGAGTAGTAGAAAACGCTTTCATGGTTTTAGACTTGCAACATATTTTAGCTTCATTACTTGTGCAACGAGGCCAAAATCGTGAAGAATAGCATATCATTTCAAATGATCGGGATCATGTTTGGCGCGATGACATTCGGACAGATGTCGGACTTCTTCGGCAGAAGAGCGGTTTGTGCTTTGATGTGCATTATAGTAATAGTTTTCATGCTGAGACTCAAAGTCGTGCTCCATTTTTTTTTTTTTTTTTTGCAAACACCTTTTTTGCAAATACTAAATCCAAATGCTACTGCATATAACACCAACACTTGATATTATTATATATATGCGCACATACACGTGTACACACATATCAGTCTGGGGGTCCTGGCGGTCCCGGTTATCTCAGGTTTAAAGTCACTGGAAAAAATTCAGTGCTTTTAAAGTTTTGTTGTTAATTTGATACTGACACGTGCCAGGGAGTCGTTTGACATGCGTCTAAGCTAACCTCGGGAGAGGAAGCCATCGACAACCTCGCCAACGAATGATTGATGTTGGCAGTGCATTACAGTAAGACAACTTTGAGGTAGTCTTACTTTGCCTTTCAGAATGAGTCATGGAGGGAGTTTTGATAACGCAGGTGCATGCTTATGCATGAAGACGATTATGCAGTGCGAGATTGCCCGGGTTCCGAGTAGTTTCTGTTGCTAGGGCGTGACAAAAGTAAAATATCTTGTAAAATACTACCGCTAAAATATAGATACGGTAAGAATGCGTATCGTGCGCAATGATATTATTTGTTGGAAGAAAGATATCCATTTTGTGAGACAGCCTCTCATTCACTGTTACCTTGGTGTTTTTGTTTACATTTTGGAAGTGTCCAGACTGAAGAGGCATATAGGAGATCCGTTAGAGATTTGTAGCCTCCGTTTTCCGGATGCTTTTGGAAAGCTTTTGAGTTGTTCTGATTGAAGCTGCATTGCAGACTCTAATCTTCGGTACAGTTGGTTTGATTGTCAGTGGTGTGGTGTCAACGTTATCGACCAATCTCGTGATGATCACAGTCGCTCGTTTCTTCGTAATGTTATTCACCGGCGGAAAACATAGGTTTGTGTTTGTTCAAAGCAGAAGCAAGATTAACCAGGATCTCCGCGCGCCTGCATTTTTAGCATGAAACGGCGATGTAGAAGAACAAGGTTGGAATGGGGTGCTCAATGCTGTTTTGAATTCTTTCTGATGATATTCTAAATGTGTCCCAGATGGCGGTAAATCAGAACAGAGTGTGCTAAATTCAATTCTGACTGCAGTGGCCCTGAGTGTTGTGAAGATGGGAGAAGGCGCCAGTTTTTTTCTAGGTACACTCTAAACTGAAAATGCCTTCTGTAGCGAACGTTGGATTGAAGAAAATTATTGGTGAAGGTGGGAAAATGCTGATACTCTCCAGAAACAAAGTGTTGTATTTTGTTGACAGTGAATAACGAAACAGGTGCCTGCTGAACACTTGTAATTAAGCTACCGAGAATTTTTCGTCGGTTGTCGGGTTCTACTCCATGCGATTCTTCAGCTCGCTTTTTTGCCACCTTCACGTATTGCTCCTTAACGTATCACTCACACGCCTGCATAGAAAGAGAAAATTGTACAGGGGCCGACTACTGGAGTCATAGTACAAGTGCTCATTGAGTTGTGACTTCAGAAAGGCTTCTTGCAGCGTTTCGTATGTGTACATGATGGAAACTTTGCCGGCCAAGCAGCGTATGCCGATTGTGACGGTGATCACCTATTCGCCAAACTATATTGTTTTCACCGGACTAGCCTATCTCACTGGCGAATGGCGACTGCTCTCTCGTGTTGTTGCCGCTTTCACATTCATTCCGGGCATTTTACTCCTGTGAGTTTAGAAGGACAAGTTTTTCTTTTTTCCAGAAAAGTCTTTGCTCTTTTTCCTGCACTTTTTGGGTAAACATGTTTTTTATGGATGCATTTGTACACAAAGGATGTGAAAAGAGTCGTTTCAGTTGACTTCGTTAAGCACTGAGGGATACGTGAGGACAAATAATACAGGTTTTAACTTCAGATTTGCGTATGAAAGTCCGCGTTGGCTCATACAGAAAGGAAAAATCGACGAAGCTCGTAAAGCTCTTGTTGGAATGAGTAAATGGGATAAATGTGACACACCGGAACGCCTCCGAGAAATAGACGCCTTGCTGGATAGAGAGCGTGAACGCGTCAGACAGGTACTACTCGCTGGCTCAATTTTGCTTTCTGAAGCTGAATTTTAAGTTTTTAGGGATCTGGATCTGTGCCTGTGATTAACTGAAATACATTACAGTTTATGTAAAGCAAATTTTAGGCAAGTGACAAACCCAAAAAGCGCTACTACACCTACCATCTCTTTTCGACCAAGGAGTTTGCGTTGTACACGATCCTGTTCGCTTACAGCTTGTATGTTTTTTAATGATTTTGCATTAGTTTTCTTTGTTACAAATTCGGTGTCTGTAAATTTGCGAAAAAGGAGGAAGTTCAAAACGTCGAGAAAAAATTAATTTAAAAAACGACCCAGTTATTCGCTGACGAATTCACTGTAAAAATAAAAAATTAACTTTGAAAATTACTGGTAAAATTGTGCCAGGATGATTACGAGTATAATCTCGTACGGTTTGGTCTTCAACATGGAGAAACTGTCCGGATCTGTTTATCTGAACACGATTATTGTTGGCGGGCTGCGTTACGCGATCAATCTTGTTTGCGCTTTCATCGATCTCCGTTTCATGTGGGCCGGTCGACGTCTTATCCACGGCTTTGCCATGTCGTTTGTCGCTGTTAGCCTTGGTGCTGTATTCATGATTGTTTTCCTCGGTATGTTATTTCTGCATCTGTTTCGGCTTTTCATGTAACGGGACGCAGATACTGATTTTTTGGGAAAGTGATTTCAAAAGTTGCTTTCCTGCTTGCTTGGATACTCTAAACAAATGCCATTTGGCCTTCTCTCCTTATCGTTCTGGGGTCTTATGTTCTCATTTTAAGTGTCGAATGATTTTTTGTTGGAATACAATAATTAATGGTGCGTGTGATGGCACTGATGCGAGCATATACTTTTTCGTGCAGTCAGAATTCAACCTTGAGCATACATGCAAATTTGACTCCACTTTTTACAAGATTGTGACGTGAATTTAGAGAATTGTTATTAGGTCGTCCAGGGCTAAGCCTTCAAAATTCAACGCTTTCTAGCATCTCAACCAAACTAATATCCATGCACCTCCACATATAAATAGAATTTAATCTGTGCATTTCCAAGAACAAATGCAGAAAACGCATAAAAAAACCTCATAAAAATGAGACTGTGAGGAATGTTATAAATTTGGGGAATGCTGTAAAAAGAAGCAAGAAAAGCAAACGAAATAGTAGGAGAAGTATTTAAGTAGTGCTGCAAAAAACCAAGGAAGGCGAAAATATTTAGGTCCAAGACGCATACGCGTAGATTGGCGATATTAAAATTTTTGCGTGTTGCAGGTCTGGACTGGCAAGCGGTCATTCGTATTACGGCTCTGTCCGCGGCGGCAATGTGTAGTCAGATTTACATTTTGAATGCAGTTACACCATCCGAACTGTTCCCAACGGCTATTCGAAATCAGGAAATTGGTTTAATACAGACATTTAATCGTATTGGCAACATCATTGCTCCACAAATCTTCATCATTGTATGTTTTTCTTTTTCAGTACAATTTCAAAATTCATACTAAGTGAATAGGGCAAAGAAAAAAAGAAAATAATGTAGCTTTTGAGCCATTTTGTCAAATAACTTTCACGCCGGGCTTCAAAAGTATGCGCCAAATGGTCAGCAACTATTTTGATGCAAATATGGCATTTACATCTCACATAACCCCATAATTCAGCTGTATTCGTAGTTAATGGAAACTTTCCCGATGTGAAGTAATCAGTCGGCTGAAATCATTTTAAAGTTTGTTTGGTACGAAAATTGTTACTGAGTTACTCGAAAAGCCCCTTCGTGTTTCACCATCTGTGAGAAGTAAGGCAACTGAAAGTAATCGAGCAAGGCTTTCGATGGCTCTCGCTTCTGCAGCTTGCTTTAGAAGCATGCCGATGGCATTTGCGTTTTTCATACGCCAGTACCGGTCTACCGGCGGAGAAATGAGTGTAAACAAGCTGTAGAAGAAGCAAGTTTTGTATTAATTTTTGGGACTTTATTGCGTTGTTTGAATATTATTTTAATGCCAACTATTGTATCAGACATGTTTTTTTGCCAGAATTGCGGAATGGCGCCACGACCAAGCCCGACAATCCTTATTATTGCGTTTGTTGTTGTTTTGCAGGGTGAGCTGTGGACTCCACTCCCATACCTTGTAATGTGCATCTTCGCGCTGGTCGAAGTGACTGGAATTCTGCTGATTGTTCCGGAAACTAAAGGAAAACCGTTGGTGGATCGTATGCCCGGAGAAGATAAGAATGCGGATGAGAATGGACAGCCCATGATCAGAATTGACAAAAACAATGGCGAGGACGTGCCGCTGACCGAGATGAAGAGATGAGCTTGGATTTCGCATTCTGTTTTGTAATGGCTCCAAAGAGCATTTTTTTTTTCCTATGTATGTGTTAGCTATTTGCATCTTTTTTTTTTGTTTTCGCCAACGAAAACACATTAGGCTCAGA